CTGTTTACACCCAACACCCTGCTCCATCCTACCCACGGGATGTGACCTTCATGCCCATACCCTACACCCAAGACTACCAACCTCCCAGCGACCCTTACACCACAGAACCCTACAACACGGACATACCCAGCCTGCCATACCCTCACTATACCCTCAGCCTGGGCAGGAAAGGCAGGCTGGCCAGTTCACCAAGTGCAACTTGCGTTAATGGATGCACGACCTTCCCCTTATCCCCATCTAAGGGGAGTGAGCCCCAAGGGGAGCCTTGCCCCTGGGAGGACCCGAACGATAGGAGCATCAGCCCTTCTCACAGAGAAAGCTCCGTGTAGAGGAGACTCCTCCTTCGGCGTCCCCGACACCAAGACCCAATCCCAGGAACGCCTCCTTCAGGTAGGCAACAATGTTAATAGCACCATTAAGGGCGCTAGGAGACAGGTAATTAGCACATTCAATGGGGGGTAGTTGGGTAATCCAAAGCCCCCCCCCCCTTCCCATCCCTGGAACGCGATAATGAGATTGTAGGAACGATGCTGTGATAATCACCGCGGGTCTCCCACGGTAATCAACAGCTTAGGAAACAGGTATCCCAGGTACATCAACCAGGCGCTCCCACAGTCAATTACCACGGGGGATTAGGTCTTTATGAGGGGTACAAACTCATCTGGATCTCATAATAGGCAGAGGAGAATGAGGAAGGGAATGAGCATCCCATGGGCGCCTTTCTAAGGTGCTAATTGGCAAGTTGTGAGGCAGGTGTGTGAGGCCAGGTGTGCGAGGCCGGGTGGTGAGGCCGGTGTGTGAGGCTGGTGTGTGTGAGGCAGGTGAGTGAGGCAGGTGTGTGAGGCAGGTGTGTGAGGCAGGTGTGTGAGGCAGGTGTGTGAGGCAGGTGTGTGAGGCCAGGTGTGCGAGGCCGGGGTGTGAGGCAGGTGTGTGAGGCAGGTGTGTGAGGCAGGTGTGTGAGGCCGGTGTGTGAGGCAGGTGTGTGAGGCAGGTGTGTGAGGCAGGTGTGTGAGGCAGGTGTGTGAGGCCGGGGTGTGAAGCCGGTGTGTGAGGCAGGTGTGTGAGGCAGGTGTGTGAGGCAGGTGTGTGAGGCCAGGTGTGCGAGGCAGGTGTGTGAGGCAGGTGTGTGAGGCAGGTGTGTGAGGCAGGTGTGTGAGGCCAGGTGTGCGAGGCAGGTGTGTGAGGCAGGTGTGTGAGGCGTAGTAGTAGGGAGGTCAGATAATGGTAGTGAGGACGTGGTACTTCACTATACAGTGCCAAATGGGGGGAGTAATGTCTACCCCTTTATGCCCGGCCAACTAGCCCATGATAACACCTGTTGTGTTATCATAACTATTCTAACACAACCTCTTGTGTTATCACTTAACTATTGTAACGCTTTTACAACTTATTTTGTTCAGGGCGCCCCCGCTTGTTGACCTCCAGGACACGTTAATGATCGTTAGGTCATTACCTCGTACCAGAGGTCACTATCAACAAGGTCACTAACCTTGTTAATAGTGACCTTGTACTATCCGCTCTCACTACTGGGTAATGATAGTGAGATTAGGTAATCATACTTCACTATTCACTTTACACACAGAAATCACAATAGCGTGATGCATCAAATGAGCAAATCCACAAGGGCCGTGACGAGGGTTCGAACCTACGTCCAAGAGGTTCCTAGACGCTGCCTTAATCGACTGAGATACGACATGGTCAAAAGAATTGCAACCGGGAACTTTGACCGGAATTGACCCGTGGTAGCTCAGGATGATTTCCCGGTTGCAATTCTTTGACCATGTCGGAGCTCAGTCGATTAAGGCAGCGTCTGGGATGCTCTCGGACGTAGGTTCGAATCCTCGTCACGGCCCTTGTGGATTTGTTCAACATCCACGTTGTTTTAGAGAAGAACAAAATAAAAGATTTTACAAAATTTCGAGTTTATTTGAAATTAAAAAAAAAACTCAACATATTCTCCAAAAATTGTCTTTTGACTCATCACGTCATCGTCAAATTGTGTATTATTGTCAATTCTCTTTTTCGAAATTTCCTGATCGGACGAATTTTGATTTTCAGCTATTTCAATAACATTTATTCATTAATTAACAGAAACAATATTTCTTTTTTAATTACAGCTGTGTTGACCACACCTGATCTCCAGCACTGCCCTGCTGTTCAGCACACACCTGCCCCTACAGCTGCCCCTACACCTGTTTCAGTCTCTGTTCACCTGCAAAAAAAAAAAAAAAGAACTGCTCCAACTGTGCAAATCGGAGCGTAGGCCGCAGCAACATCAGTCGCAAACAACAATAGATTTACTGGTCACACGCACTCGAGGGGGAAATATATCCAAGCCCGTCACACAGAATTTTAAAATGGGGTTCAGGGTGAACCCTATTTTCTGTGAACCCTCTAACCCTAGAGAGTTTGGGTTTAAATATGTATTTTTATCTGCATTCTGTGGCCACCAACAAGATTATATATATATATATATATATATATATATATATATATATATATATATATATATATATATATATATATATATATATATATATATATATATATATGTCGTACCTAGTAGCCAGAACGCACTTCTCAGCCTACTATGCAAGGCCCGATTTGCCTAATAAGCCAAGTTTTCCTGACTTAATATATTTTCTCTATTTTTTTTCTTATGAAATGATAAAGCTACTCATTTCATTATGTATGAGGTCAATTTTTTTTTATTGGAGTTAAAATTAACGTAGATATATGGCCGAACCTAACCAACCCTACCTAACCTATCTTTATAGGTTAGGTTAGGTAGCCGAAAAAGTTAGGTTAGGTAGGTTAGGTAGTCGAAAAACAATTAATTCATGAAAACTTGGCTTATTAGGCAAATTGGGCCTTGCATAGTAGGCTGAGAAGTGCGTTCTGGCTACTAGGTACGACATATATATATATATATATATATATATATATATATATATATATATATATATATATATATATATATATATATATATGCAAACAAGCCTGAATGGTCCCCAGCAGGACTATATACAACTGAAAACTCACACCCGAGTTCGGGTGGGTTCGAGTCACTTCTGGGGTGTGATTTTTCAGTTATATATATATATATATATATATATATATATATATATATATATATATATATATATATATATATATATATATATATATACAGTCAAACAAGGCCAGAAACAAATAAAAACAGTAACTAGAATGTGTATAAATATTTTCTTTTGATAATAAAATTGTTAAGCATTTTATCAAGAGATTAAAGCAGTCAAAATTTAAATAAAGGAAAGTTGGCAACATCTCGGTGAGTTAACAGTCACATAGTGACTTAAAATTAAAGTGAATTTTGAGTTACTATAATTAATGTTAGCCCCCTCCCCACACACACGCGCGCGACACACACACACACACACACACACACACACACACACACACACACACACACACACACACACACACACACACACACTGCAGGGGAAACATGTTCGCGACATTCCTAATACCATCAAATGTTCAAATTGGTCATAGTTCAGATGAGTACCGCCAGGCGGCGTGTCATAGCGGCCCCGGATGTGTGTGTGTGTGTGTGCACTCACCTAAATGTGCTTGAGGTGGTTGAACTTCGGCTCTCTAGTCCCGCCTCTCAGCCGTCAATCAACTGGTGGACAGGTTCCTCAGTCTATTCCGCTCAATCATTTCTACTTATTATTCTGTGTATGGAGTCTACTCTATGTCCACCACATCACTTCCTATTAAGTTCCATTTCTTAAAACTTCAAAGTTTTTTTTAATGTTTTTTTCGGCTCATTTGAGTACTAAGTTATCCCCTGTGTCCAGTCTGTCTTTATCTACCCCCTCTCAATTCCTCTGAGTATTGTAAACGTGGTAATCATGTCTCCTCTTCCAGTGACGTGAGGTTTTATTTCAGTAGCCCTTCCTCATAACTCATACCTCTCAGTTCCGGGAGTAGTCTGGTGGCGTACCTCTAAACTTTCTCTAGCTTCGTCCTGTGTTTGACTACACATGGACTCCACATGGAGCCGCAGACTCCAGAATTGGTCTGACATGTGTATGTGTATGCATATGCATGAATATGAATACTGAATGGTTTAATATCTTCGTCGTTAGAATAAAACACCTTAGTAGCGATCAGAGTTGAACAGGTCAGTGCCACGGAGTTAAAACCAGGTCAGTGCCGCACAGAGCCAAGGTCAGGTCAGTGCCACACAGAGCCAAGGTCAGGTCAGAGCCACACAGTGCCAAGGTCAGGTCAGAGCCACACAGAGCCAAGGTCAGGTCAGAGCCACACAGAGCCAAGGTCAGGTCAGTGCCACACAGAGCCAAGGTCAGGTCAGAGCCACACAGAGCCAAGGTCAGGTCAGTGCCACACAGAGCCAAGGTCAGGTCAGAGCCACACAGAGCCAAGGTCAGGTCAGTGCCACACAGAGCCAAGGTCAGGTCAGTGCAACACAGAGCCAAGGTCAGGTCAGAGCCACACAGAGCCAAGGTCAGGTCAGTGCCACACAGAGCCAAGGTCAGGTCAGTGCCACACAGTGCCAAGGTCAGGTCAGAGCCGCACAGAGCCAAGGTCAGGTCAGTGCAACACAGAGCCAAGGTCAGGTCAGTGCCACACAGTGCCAAGGTCAGGTCAGTGCCACACAGAGCCAAGGTCAGGTCAGAGCCACACAGAGCCAAGGTCAGGTCAGTGCCACACAGAGCCAAGGTCAGGTGAGTGCCGCACAGAGCCAAGGTCAGGTCAGAGCCACACAGAGCCAAGGTCAGGTCAGTGCCACACAGTGCCAAGGTCAGGTCAGTGCCACACAGAGCCAAGGTCAGGTCGGTGCCACACAGAGCCAAGGTCAGGTCAGAGCCGCACAGAGCCAAGGTCAGGTCAGTGCCACACAGAGCCAAGGTCAGGTCAGTGCCACACAGAGCCAAGGTCAGGTCAGAGCCGCACAGAGCCAAGGTCAGGTCAGTGCCACACAGAGCCAAGGTCAGGTCAGAGCCACACAGAGCCAAGGTCAGGTCAGTGCCACACAGTGCCAAGGTCAGGTCAGTGCCACACAGAGCCAAACACCACTCTGCTATCCTATATGCTACATTACCTGATTTAGTTCATCTTTTTGTGTTTTTAAATATATATATGTAATTTGCTAGAATAAACTGCTTATGTATGTATAATTTTAGCTAATGGAAACATTTTTCTCACTTGGCCAAAGAAACCCGGTGCCTAGTGTGTAATTACATCAACCTCCCCTCCCCCCTAAACCCCCGTCGGCATCAATTTCCCCTCAACTCCCCTCATCAACCGTCTACACATATTTCTATCTCATCAAGTCATCCACTGATGGATTGAAGGCACGAGAACATTGCATTCAGTTCATATTTATTTTCTATCGATTGGTGCTCCCTGTTCTTCTGACCAAATAATGTTATTTCGTTCTACTGAATTCGGTTCAGCTTTTGTTATCACCTTTTACGTCAGTTACGTCAGGTCAGTTGAGATACCAGGTCAGAGGTCAGAGGTCAACTGGGGTCGTTGAAGGATTGCATTGTACCAATGCACTTGTTAATACTCTTAAGAAATAATATGAAATCTGTCTCTGTGATAAATATATAATTAGTGTGACGGATGATCTACTAATTAATGAACCATTTTCCTGCGCTTATACAATTACGTGTAAATAAACCATTGTAGTGAGTGAATTACCCTTCCCTTTCCGTCAACTGTCTCCATTGTTTTGTTCTAGTAATTACGGTCATAGAATTAGAATTTGTGGATTGAACTGCTTTGATAACATTTTTGGTGAACATGGTTTATTTTTTTCTCTAAAGGGAGTTTCCTACAAAAAATAAAATGCTTTGTTGAAGAAGAAATTTTTGAACTTTATATATAATTCAGGTGTCAGATGGGTTTTAGTGCACGACTGTTCAAAGCGGTATAGATGTCGTAAGAGCGAGAGAAACATGAGAATCAAAAAATCAAGAAACTGAAACAAAGAGAATCCAAATATTGAACAGTATTGTGTGCCCTGTCTCTTGAGAGGAAGAACCAAGAGTGTGTTAATGTGTCTGAGGAGTTCTTCCTTGTGTGTGTTGTCTTGGAAGACTCGACATTCCCCCAGGGTAATGACTGTGTATATTGTGTCTAGTTGTAATGTGTGTTCAGGGAGGTGTTGAGGTCCTCCAGGAGGTCCTTGCCCGCTCCAGGAGGTCCTTGCCCGCTCCAGGAGGTCCTTGCCCGCTCCAGGAGGTCCTTGCCCGCTCCAGGAGGTCCTTGCCCGCTCCAGGAGGTCCTTGCCCGCTCCAGGAGATCCTTGCCCGCTCCAGGAGATCCTTGCCCGCTCCAGGTAGCCCTATAGGAGGAAACTTGTTCAGTTTACCTAGTCCTCCAGGTACTATCCAGCCTAGTTCATCCTTCTGGGCGTTATTATTTGGTTGAGGTAGTCAACTGCACTGTCGAGCCGGAGCAGTCCTCCAGAAGATCAGTATCCGATCACTGTAATCCGCCAAATGGATACTATCCGGTCCAGCAAGTCGTACTTACAGAGACCATTGCTTGGCTCAGGTAGTCCTTAAAGATGCCACTGTGTATCGGATCATTCCGCTCTAGGAAGGATACTCATCCTGTGGAAATCTGTCCGGTCCAGGCAGTCCTGTAGGATGGGGGGGTATCTGAACTAAGTACTCCCCCGCGGAGGGCAGCTTCCCTCCGGACTCCTGCCGTCTAAGATAGGGACATTTCCAACCAGGAGGGCGTCCTGGTTCCTCTTGGAGGGCGTCCTGGTTCCTCTTGGAGGGCGTCCTGGTTCCTCTTGGAGGGCGTCCTGGTTCCTCTTGGAGGGCGTCTCCACCTCCACCCAAAACCTCTGGCGGGTCATGTTAGCTTTTGTACAACTCTCGATGTCATCTGATCGTTATACACACAACAAAATAAAACTTTGTATAACCGAAGCTCTGTGTTTGTTTACCTCATACACAAAACTTTATTTACACAACGTCTGCTCTCAAACATTGGGGAGTAAACCAAACATAAACTTGGTTAAACACGAGAACTTCGAAACATTCTTTTGTTCTGCCAGACGACATACAAATTAAAATTAATAATTATAGAATAATATATAGTTATAGTATATAATAATTATAGTATAGAACTGAGATGTTAAGATGCTTTTGTGTTTTATCCAACCACTTGGGATGGTAGGTAGAGCGACGGTCTCGCTTCTTCCAAGATCCTCATTCATTCTATCCTAGATGGTGCAAGATGGCTGGGTACATCGTCCCTTCACTCGTTGTCCTATCCCAGCTCCTTGTCCCCATATCCCAGCTCCGAGTCCCCATATCCCAGCTCCTAGTCCCCATATCCCAGCTCCTAGTCCCCATATCCCAGCTCCTAGTCCCATATCCCAGCTCCGAGTCCCCATATCCCAGCTCCTAGTCCCCATATCCCAGCTCCTAGTCCCCATATCCCAGCTCCTAGTCCCCATATCCCAGCTCATAGTCCCCATATCCCAGCTCCTAGTCCCCATATCCCAGCTCCTAGTCCCCATATCCCAGCTCCTAGTCCCCATATCCCAGCTCCTAGTCCCCATATCCCAGCTCCGAGTCCCCATATCCCAGCTCCGAGTACCCATATCCCAGCTCCGAGTCCCCATATCCCAGCTCCTAGTCCCCATATCCCAGCTCCGAGTCCCCATATCCCAGCTCCGAGTACCCATATCCCAGCTCCGAGTCCCCATATCCCAGCTCCTAATCCCCATATCCCAGCTCCTTGTCCTCCAACCCTTTACAAGTGCTATATAGTTACATTGGCTGAGCACTTTCTCCTGATAATTATCCTGCACCTCACATCCTATCATGGACTGTCATCTGAATGGATACTTGGCGACACGACCGATAAGTTGTGTCTTAAGAAAAAGCCGCGATATCTCAAGATTATAAATTCATACAGTGAGATCACACACAGAGATCACATTAACGTGATGTATCAAATGAACAAACCCTGTCGTAGCTCAGTTGATTAAGGCAGTGTCTGGGATGCAGGTTCGAATCCTCGTCACGGCCCTTGTGGATTTGTGCATACAGTGAGGTTCACATATATTACTAGTAAGTCTAAATAATACTTAATAAAATATGAGTATAACAAGTTTCTAATGGATTTAAAAGTGCTTTTGAAGCGGAGATTAAGCATGCTTTACAACAATATGTGATGCCCAACCACTTGGGCTGGACGGTAGAGCGACGGTCTCGCTTCATGCAGGTCGGCGTGCAATCCCCCGAGACCGTCCACAAGTGGTTGGGCACCATTCCTTTCCCCCCGTCCCATCCCAAATCCTCAATCTGACCCCCTTCCCAGTGCTATATAGTCGTAATGGCTTGGCGCTTTAAAATCAAAACAAAAACAATTATGTGATACAATAGCAGGACGCTATACATCAATATGTGATACAACAGCGGTATGTGATACAACAGTAGTACGTTATACAGCAGCAGTATGTGATACAACTTATGCAACAATGCAGTCATTTCAGGTCTCTCAACTAACCTGCCCGACACCACCAAACTCCCTTCACATCCAGGCACGAAACACAGCTCCGTTATGTTCCTGCTTGCCAGTATTTACACGACTTTTACGAGTTTGGGGAACCCATTAAAACACAGTGTCTCCTCAAGCCATTCAAGCACAGTGCCATCTCTCAAACATTAGAACACAGTGCAGGCGATGAGTCACAATAACGTGGCTGAAGTATGTTGACCAGACCACACACTAGAAATTGAAGGGACGACGACGACTACCTGTCCTCATCACAATCGACTTGAGAATGGTCCAGGACGGACCGAAACGTCGTCGTCCCTTCAATTTCTAGTGTGTGGTCTGGTCAACATTAGAACACAGTGCCTCTCTCCTTAACCCATAACCCATCTGAACACAGTGCCTCTCTCCTTAACCCATAACCCATCCGAACACAGTGCCTCTCTCCTTAACCCATAACCCATCCGAACACAGTGCCTCTCTCCTTAACCCATAACCCATCCGAACACAGTGCCTCTCTCCTTAACCCATAACCCATCCGAACACAGTGCCTCTCCACACCTCATTAGAACACGCTGCCTCTCCTCACAGGAAGCCTGTGGAATCCAAGGTAGTTTTACTTATTTACACGTCGTGGTTCAGGGGTAAGGTGCGGGGCTGGGAGAGCATCAGTACTCCCCTGATTTTGCCACTGATAAATATCCCATTAATGTGATTTCCTTCCGTATAATTATCATTATTATTGCAATTATTATGTAAAATATTTCAAAAAGTGCAGCAAAGTCGCATATTTACCCGGACAACACAGTTTGAACACTTCCCGGACGACTTTGGGAGAGACCTAAGGGCTTCTGTCGCGAGGCTTCTCTTCCATAAGGGGACATTAAACCCTTATAATCTGCAGCTGGAGTTCCAGCTTGCTGGTGGACTATTAAACCGGAAGACAGTAGTCACGCCATTAGCTGGATTGGCGCCCCATTGGTGGCCGCTGAGAGGAGATGAAGGAGGGAGTAATGGGGTGCGTATCAGAGCGTTTGCAACCCATTACCTCTTAATAGGTTGCAGGAGATGGGTTAGAGGGATGACTGGGTAGTGAACGTCACGTCATTATGGTTCCATGATTGAGGTAGCGATGTGGCAGGCGTGAGTCTCAAGTGACACGGTGTCAGACCTACAGGTGTGGCAGGCGTGAGTCTCAAGTGACACGGTGTCAGACCTACAGGTGTGGCAGGCGTGAGTCTCAAGTGACACGGTGTCAGACCTACAGGTGTGGCAGGCGTGAGCCTCAAGTGACACGGTGTCAGACCTACAGGTGTGGCAGACCAACAAATCACTGGCTCACAATCACCAACAAATCACTGGCTCACAATCACCAACAAATCACTGGCTCACAATCACCAACAAATCACTGGCTCACAATCACCAACAAATCACTGGCTCACAATCACCAACAAATCACTGGCTCACAATCACCAACAAATCACTGGCTCACAATCACCAACAAATCACTGGCTCACAATCACCAACAAATCACTGGCTCACAATCACCAACAAATCACTGGCTCACAATCACCAACAAATCACTGGCTCACAATCACCAACAAATCACTGGCTCACAATCACCAACAAATCACTGGCTCACAATCACCAACAAATCACTGGCTCACAATCACCAACAAATCACTGGCTCACAATCACCAACAATGCAGCTGAATCGTTCAAACAAGGATCTTATCAACATGTCCCCACATGTCCAATTCCCCCATTTTGTTTACACAAACGACCAATTAGTTAACGTTGCAAACTATTGATCTATCATACAGCGTACGGTTAGAGGCGCTGGCTGGGGTCCGTCCGTTTCTGGTTAGGCAAAAACAGTTGATTTTTTTTACGGAGTGTGAAATGGAGAGACCCGTGTGGACCATCACATTGATCAGTGATCATATTGATCCATTATATTAATCAGTGATTATTACTAAACACAAAATCAAGTAGCATAAAAAAAAGAGCTTTCAAAGCTTAATAGGCCAACCCGAAACGCTTAGCGTACTAGTTGGCTTTATTAAATATTAATTCTTTATGTTATAACTGGTTAACCTATACATTGTAGGTCTGTATATATATTTTTGTCACTAAGGAATTATTGTTATAATTCTGTTCCGGTTCATCGTGGACCCTTTATCAAGTCTTAGATTTCGGTCCAGGGACCGAAACGTCGTCCTTTCTCTGTTGTCATTCACTGTCACATCAAATATAGGATCACATGACACAAGGAAGACTTATCCTGAGATGGTGAAAACTTCACCATCACCCTTTAGGGAGCCGGTCGGCCGAGCGGACAGCACGCGGGACTTGTGATCCTGTGGTCCTGGGTTCGATCCCAGGCGCCGGCGAGAAACAATGGGCAGAGTTTCTTTCACCCTACGCCCCTGTTACCTAGCAGTAAAATAGGTACCTGGGTGTTAGTCAGCTGTCACGGGCTGCTTCCTGGGGGTGGAGGCCTGGTCGAGGACCGGGCCGCGGGGACACTAAAAAGCCCCGAAATCATCTCAAGATAACCTCTCAAGATAACCCTTGACGTAAGGAAATTTGTAACATCCTCTGTCCGTGAACTACTTACTGAGGCGGAAGGATAAATGCAATCCTGGACCAGGGAAATTTGTGTCAGTTTAAAAATAAAACTTATGGAGGAAATTCCAATATCTTTCACCTCATTGGCAAGAAATTAGTCACAATATACTTTATACATTAAGCTAATTTACACATATACAAATAAATCACACCTATTAAAATAAGTGATATTGATTTTATTAAATATATCAAATTGGTAATATATTTAAGAGAGCCCAATTTGATGCCCTATTGCAGTAACTGGGAGCAACATGGAACGGTGATTTCTCTCATGTATTATCAAATACGACTTTCCTAGTTCCCAACAAACTTGTACTGTTACTCAAGAAACTTTAGCCATTAACAACTCTCCACAACACAACACATCCGCCAGTACAACCTGAACACACACACACACACACACACACACACACACACACACACACACACACACACACACACACACACACACACACTGAGCCACATATCTAAATGAATTCATCCCACATAAAGGCTGCCCAGTGGATTTTATTTGAATCATTTCATATCATATCTCTGAGAGCTTCATGTTAATGGATATTACTCGTTGTCTCTCTCTCTCTCTCTCTCTCTCTCTCTCTCTCTCTCTCTCTCTCTCTCTCTCTCTCTCTCTCTCTCTCTCTCTCTCTCTCTCTCTCTCTCTCTCCCTATTCCTCAGCACAATAAAAATCTCCAATATTGCACCTACTCCCGTCACACATATCAAAGACCCGCCTAGCTAGGGATTACAGCCTCACTCCTCACCACCTGAGCGGAGGGCCGCCCCTGATGG